ATAATTTCAGGGAAGAAAATTTTGTATCATAATAATAATAATCACAAGCGTGTCATTTTCAGTATATTATTTTACGAAATGATTATATTTTCTAATAATAATGAGTCTTTATTTTCTTCGCGAAAATTATTAAATTTTATGCCAGAATAGTCATAAAATACATATTAAGTTTTTGGAAAGCATTTCTTACCTGTGCCTTCGCTCTCTCTCTCTCTCTCTCTCTCTCTCTCTCTCTCTCTCTCTCTCTCTCTCCCGCGCGCGCGTAAAAGTCGCTTCATTAAAAAGTAATATGAATATACCTTCGCGTCGGGAGTGATCCCGATGTACGATATCTCGATAGAGTCGAAAGTCTCTCTCCTCCTCCGTGCTGCTCTGCTGTGAGATCATTTCTAAAACAGCACATTCTCCGAAATCCATATCTCGCATACAAACGAGACAACGGCGACCATGGCAGGTCCATTAACATATCCCCGGCGTAATGTCGGGGCCGTAAACTGAAGGAGGCGCGAACGTAACGCCGGGGACAATGAACGGAGCTTATCCGCGTTGCTATAAAATATTCTCTGTGTGCCGCGCGTGTCCACGCAGCCGTAAAACGCGAGCATCCGTTTAATGATAAATTAGGGACGACGCGGCACGTCGGGGAATCGGGCGAATGTGTCCGGCCGCGTGTGTACGCCGCGCCTCTATTTTCTTCCTCTCCCTCTTTCTCTCTCTCTCTCTCTCTCTCTCTCTCTCTCTCTCTCTCTCTCTCTCTCTCTTTCTCTTTCTCTCTTGGCATGCTCAACCCTCAGTAGCGATACTCGGGATGAGTATAGTCTCGCGGGGATTTTATTTTTCCACGTACGCCCATCTAGACGTTAGCAATCAATAGATTTTTAATTTACTCTAAATGCAGCAAAACAAACTATCTGTATCATCATTTCCTGTTGGATAAATCGCGTATGCAGCGCAATATGTTACTTTGTAAGAGGATACAGAAAGGCCGCTTTTCTCGCGCAGTTCGTGAAGTTCGAATTCAAGGGAGCATGATATAATGTAACGACAGCCGACTTATCATTGCTACCGAGAGCCAGTATCTCGGCGCCAACATCCGGAAAATCATGTCGAAATTCAAAGTATTTCGCTAATTGCCCCACTTAGCCTTACTACCACTTGAAGCATCCTAATTACTCTCCCAGAATATTTGAGTCATCGCGAATCAAACTTGGATATATCGGAGAGCGAAGAGATGCGCTTGAAAATTTCGTAAACTTCACAAAGCTAATAATGTAATTTTTTTAAATTGTTTAAAAAGATTTCTGAGTTGCAATCATATTTTCGCTTAACTCAAGTATTATTTACGTAATTACTCGTAGTCACTCGTATCTTGATACTTTTTTGCTTACATATCAATTAAATTTCTCTTTTTTTTTTTTTTTAGAAAATGATTAAATTTCAAATTAGAAAAATGGAAAATCTGAATGGAAAAATAAATCAGAGAGATGGACTGTGAATAAGAATTTCAGATTTATTTTCTGAATAGATTTAATTTATGTTAGACTTTTATCTAGTTAGACTTAGGCTTTTGTTAGCTTGTTATCATCACGGATGATGTGCTTTGTACATCCGAGAGTCATTATCATTTTCGTTAAATATTATTCGCTAAACAGGTGCGCGGGATAGCCGTCCCGAGCCTACCCGGCTTGTCTATTACATTACGTGATTACAAATTATTATTCTAATTCTCGTCTCATTAGAACGTGGTGCGTTCAGCAAGGCAGATAACGAACGCTTTGTCAGATCAAAATGGGCGTGGAATAAAGCTGACTGGCGCGTCGCGATTGTTCCGCTTTAAGTATCGCTTCGCATTAGCTACGACGAAGAAGCGAGCAATTTAAGTTATGGCCTGGCTCGACTGAGACTGCTCTCTTATCGCATTAACGTAGGAACTCCGTAAAATGTAGAAGAGCGGAGGGAGAGAGAGAGAGAGAGAGAGAGAGAGAGAGAGAGAGAGAGAGAGTGAGGGAGGAGGGAAGGAGGGAGAGTGCTCGGCTATACAACCGCGTCTAACATCACTGTGTTCATTACAAGGAAGGATCTTACCAAACTCACCATTTACATTATGCTGTCGCATGCAACACTTGCCACAGATGGCTGGATACTTCTTCTTCTTCGGGGCTGCTCCTCCCCCTCCCCCTTGGATTGAATCAAGCTCCGTTTGCTTTTAAAACTAAATAGCTATCGTAAACTCGAACCAGAAGACACGTAGATACAGGATGTACTTGAATGGGGTTCAATTGTTTAACTAAGGAATTAATAAAATATAGGAGTAAGTAATGAAATATTGCACATTACGTTCTTAATACGAGGAATAAAATGTCTACTTCAAATATCGTGGGAGGCATGTGTATCGATCTCGCTACAGTTCGCAAACTCCCCCGCTGGATAGGAGCTTAGAAGCAATATTTCTTTTGCGGCATTCCTATGCCAGTGCAAATAACTCGCTAATAAGAAAAGTCATTTTCCATTAACACGATTTACGCGCCCGAGATGCAGACTGCCATTTGATTAGAGATTTAATTGAAATATCGCTTTTCACGGTGGAAAATGTTTTTCAGATTGAGTTTGCTCCAGGGGGTGTCTTTGCCTCTGATTGTTTTACGTGATCGCTTATGCGAGAGAATCTAACAGTATTATTATAAGAACAAAAAAGAAGAACAGATTGCTAGTATATCATATATTTGAGGAAAAATGGTATTGAATAAATCGAAATTTACAATAGATGCATTATTTAATGTACAAATATAAATAAATAAATATATATACATATATATTTATAAATTTAACATAAATAATACACATTATGACATACATATTAGCTTTCAGTTTTTAATTCACTTCAAAATCTTTAGTAATAAATAAGTTATATTTCAAATATTTATGATTTTTAGTAGTTAGATCATCCATCATCGGTATCATCCATCAGATTATTAACCATTCTGTAAAAGTTATAAAAATACTTTAGCGACATATGTAATTTAATAATTATGAAATAAATGTATATAAATTTATTATAAAAGTAAATAATAATAATTACTTATAACGAATTTACTTGGTATAATAAGTAAATTTATCTTTAATTAAGAGAAACTAATGAAAGGTAATAAGAATCAGGCCTTTATTATCGTGTAGAGAAATAAATATAACTATTTACTGTAAATATTTGCAATTTTCATTAGCAACGGAAAAGCGAATATTTAACGTTTTACGGAAATGATGTAGATTGTATTGATTAGTATACTTACATTTGGCCACGGTACCGGCCAAGGTTGTTGGGGATTAAATGGGCCGTAGCCAGGGCCGCTTGGTAAGCGAAATCTGTGTTTCGGGAGTGCATGAGTATCGGCAAACAGAGCGCAGATTGCAACTAACAGCATCACCATGTACATTGCAAACTTCATGTTGAATGTATTGTTCTGATGAAGAAACGAAAAATCGCTACAGGAATGGAAAATGCGGTACGTATAATTCGATACTGTTAATTTTTTGAACTTTTGCACGCTTGCGAAATAAAAATATCCCGTTATTTTTTAGTTATTCCGCGTAATTATTTAGAATAGGATCTCGCAGCGTTAGAGATCACAAAATAAATGAAATTAAATATTTAATTAATTTAATAAAAGAATTTTGCGGGATATAAAATTTTTTTAGTTTAATAAAATTAAAGTTTAATAAAATTATCAAGCCGTAACGTGTAATTAGAACTATAACTAAGAATTACATATACGAGCAAAATTATAAAACTAATGCTAATTGCAAGCATTTTTTTTCTCTCTCGATAAAGTTAGATATAAATCGCGAATAATTTAAAGATTATTTACTGATTTACTTTACTGTACCTTAGTCTGATGGCAGCGGAACTCGAGTTGTGCTGTCTACATTAATACACGTCTCTTATATATCGTTATCGTTTGTATAAAAGACGCGAAAAGCAAAAGATCTAAGTTGTGGGGAACTCCCTCTCGCTATGCATTATCGCAGCTGCAGACACGCGATGTTGTCTCACTCTCTGTTGATGATCCGACTGGTTTTATTCGCGTCATGTATCAGGTCATGTGCCAGACGCTCTTTTCATATATTTAGGGACTTCCAGCAGAAATCTGTAAATTTAATTCTTCTTTCACATCTTACACAGTCTGTATACTAACGCAATTTTTTCATAAAAACTTTTTTATATACGAACATTAACATTTTACTGCGTCACGTATTATTGATTTGATTTTTTATTCTCTTCTATAGTTATTATTGTATATATTGTTTTATTTATTATATTGTATATAAAAATCGTACGGATAAAAAACGGAAAAAATATAGCGTAAAATTGCGCAAATGATAATCGGAAAAAGGATTTTTTTAAATAAACTGTTTGTTCATTGCTAGAGTAATTAAAATACCGAGAATTTTTTTCGAGAGAAAACATATATTCTTATTTATATATCAAAAGTGGCGGAAGCTTTGTTGCACAGCCGGCTGCAGTAGGAAGGGAATGAAATTACAAAGAGAATTGCAATTGAGCCAGCAGCGCAAAAATAAAAATTATTATGCCGTTGAAGCAAAGAACAGTTTATGCATGATGGTACAAACAATCAAGGGGATAAAAAAAGTTGTTTTGCGAGATATACGAGATGAAGCTGTACGACGAAAGAGAAGAGGAACATATATGTACACACGCGCGCGCGCTGTGTATGATCATGAAAATTTTTAAATAAGTACTTCGACGAGTTATCTGTAAGTATATATAAATCTAGGGAAGAGTACATATTGGTTATAATATTAAGCATCGTATTTTCGGACGCTATCACATCGCGTATCAGAATTAATGTACACTTTACATGAACTCGCATTCACTAGTCTGAAAATTAAGCACACAACTCTCGTTCATGAACCATAGATAAATACTTATCGCCAGACGGCGGCGTGATATGAAAATAACTTTGAACTGCGGGAAGATTACCTATTTTCAGAAGCACGTACAACTCGCGTAAAATTATGGGGATATCTATCTTGTAAGAATACATTTTTCAGTTGCGAAGGGGGCTCCGGCGCGACCGGAGGATATCGACGCGCGGCTGGTACAGAACAGGAACTTTTACTTGGGCATGAAATATAAGGGCGGCTAGAGAGTTTGAGGTCGTTTACTCGTTGATACGAGAAAGCTGGATAGTATCTCTCGCGAGGAAACCGAGATATCTCCGAAACCTTAGTCCCCCGGTCTAAAATCCGACACGGTTCTATCGTGTTTCCCATTCCCCTAAGCGCTTTCCCTACGTTGAGAAGAAGAGAATAAATACCTATATTAGGATTGATTAAACGAGCAACTTTATCGGCTGTCATTGTCATATATACGCGGAAATACCAGTTTTGTTGAAGTATCTAAAAATCTAGCTAGATACAGATTAGAAAAAATAATTATTTTATATTTATTTAATTTTTAATAATATTTTATTTATAATATTTATTTAATTTTTAATAATATCATTAGTACAAACATATATTTTGGTTCACTATAATTGTTTCGCAATGAAACCAAATTAATTTTTAATTGTCATGTTTAATTGTTATTTATCACGAACAGAGAAATCTTTGTCTTTTAATTTTTAAAATAACTACGTTTAACCATCGAAATGACGTGGAGATGGACGCTCAAGCAGAATAAGCAATGCCGCAAAAGTTTTGACATTCAGCAACCTGTTTGAGCGTCCGATATAATTGAAGTGACTTGCTGCAATAGTGGGCTAATTCACATTTTGAACGGAGAAAATGAACTTGAAAGTTAAAGTGATGAATTTTATAGTTTATTTTCTCCATTTTTAAATGGATGTTGTAAAATGTTATAACATGTGACCTTGTTACAGCAAACTCTTCAATTATTTAGAATTTAGATGAATCAATAAAAAATTATTTTCAGATCTACATCTGGCTAAATTGTTAGATATGTATTTTATCGAAAACCGTTCTCTCTATGTAACTATATAGAGACATCACATGATAGTTACGCGTTTTAATGACTAAGAGAATACTCGATGAAACAGGAAATTGAAAATTATTCCGACACGTATAACATTATTCTGTCTTCGCGGACGGCAATACGTTCAATTACTAATTGTGTGCAAAATAATTTATTATTTGTTTAATAGGTGCGGCGTGACGAAGCAATGTTCGTAAAATAATTTAGCCTTTCCATTTTATCGATTCGATGATGTTCTCTTTTGTAGCTCCGCGCGCTATCATAAATCCGCAAACAGATTTATGATACGTTACAAACTCATTTATCGCACTTTTGCGATGAGAGTCACATCGCGAGCAACACTCGCGTCTCGTTTGTTGCGAAAGTCACTCTTACGAGCCTCGGCATGCCGGGGGGCCGATAAATGATAAGAGTGCATTACGTCAAGCTGCTATTATGCGTAAACTGGCGTGAAAGATCACGTCCTGTGTTTTTTTTTTTTTTCACCGCGATCGTTATACGGCGATCATAACGTATAATCAGCCAGTCAGGCGTAACGGTCGATAATTATCTCTCACTAAGTTAGCGTCCATAAGGAGCTACGTTTTATAGAGTCCCGTGGATTGGGGTTATTACCTATACCGAACAACTATCCCGGGGAAATATTTTATGGAGCAGTTCAGTGGTAATGAAGGTGTTTACATGCGGGCAAGAAGGCGTCTCGCCGGGCGGTAGGTAATTAGGACACCCTCGTCTACCTACGCGATAGGCATTGCCAGAGGTAAATGCAACCCGGGCGGGCGGGCTTTTGCACGGAGACCGCGCTCGGACGGGCGGGCGGGCGGACGCACTCGTTATTTCGGGGGGCGCTTCCGCTCCGTATAATGTATTAGCGTAATTAGCGTTATCAGATCCACGGACAACGAGGAGTCACTCGTTTATATAGGATTGCGAAAACCGATGCGCGACGACCGATTCGAATTCCCGGGGAAAAAGTCGAACGTAACGAAATTACGTTCGGGATAGAAGCAAAGAGAGAGAGAGAGAACGCTTTAAAGTATATCTCATCCGCAGTTCTATTTCTCGTCTGGAGAAAAAATCAGAATAACAAACGCATTTACGTGCGTCCTTGTGACGCATATTAAAACGTTGTCAGTAATATAATATAAGATCGGTAAATTTCTTCGCGTCGATTTGAGGCTGCGACCGCTGTGCTTACAGTAAAAATGGGATGTTGAAATGACAACAAATGTTTAAATAAGACTTGGAAATTTATTTATGTCTTTTTTAGTACAAAATGTTCATCGCCTCCGTTAATCACTACGTAGGCCAGTAATCATCTTACAAAAGCAAATAGAGTTAGCATCAGTATAGAAGTCATTTTACATGATGTCAATACAAATAGATGTCAATAGCAGTCATTGTGGCTTTATGTCTTTCTAATAAGGAAATCTAATCTTCGGATTATAAGGTCCCTGACCAGGGAAAGTCGGGAAAGGTTTCCAGCCACCTGGAGGCGGTCTCTTGATCGGAGCTTCGTACGCGAGGACCGCCATCGCTGCCAAGAGCAGGGTGAAGATAAATAAGTGAAATTTCATATTGCGTTCTGTTTCTGAAAGCCAAATATATACATATATACAATGTATATACACATAAATTTAAATATCGAGTTAGGTATCAAATTAGCATGGAAGCGCGTTGACAGCATAATATATTTGAAACTACTTTCAAGATATTCTAGCAAAATATATTGAAAGCACGAGAATATGGAATTTTACAACGTTAACTCAAAATTGCAATTTTATAACAAGCAAAAGAAATTACATCGAAAAATTATGTAGAAAAAAGGAGAGAAAGTTGTAGTATACCTATATTGTTTGTAACACATATCTACTTTAATTATCAATTTATATGTCATTATTGTCACTATATTTATTTATAATCTATACTGTAATTTTCTCTCTCTCTATGACATTTCTAATATAAAATAAGCAAAATAAGTAAAAGAATGTAGATATATCTTGTTTAACTTACGTTTTTTCACGGATATACTCGCGAATGATATGATCAGCTGCTGTCTTCTCACGCTTGCAAATTTGACAAGTGTGATATTATCTTTTCCAGATCGTCGTTATATATTCTCATTTAGCGTTCATGTATATATACATGCTCTCTCATTATGCGCGCGCTTTATTTCGTTGACGGGAAGTACCGAATCTTATCTCACTCGTAACAGCAGTCGGCGACGTTCTTTTCATACTTATCAAACAACAGCGTGTATACTCGGGGGGGAAAAACACATTTCTCTCTGTATTTCACGACACTTTCTCACGACATATGAGAGAATGTTTTGCATGGAGGATAGAAATTCAAAGAAACTGGAATTACCGAAACGCGCGCGCGTGCGGCGGGCATGCGGGAGCCCCCGTGAAACGTGTAAACTTTTAATTTTCTATCCTGGTTCTCTCTCTTTCTCTCTCTCTCTCTCTCTCTCTCTCTCTCTGGTCATTGTGTGTTTTCGAAAACAAATAATGCCGGAGCAGAAGCAATAACCAGATGTACAATGTTTTTGTCTCTCGTTATATTTTCGCATGCATTACCATTTTTATGATCTATTTCATATTACCTTATATTTTTTATTTATCACATATAGTTCGGGTTCATTCGCGAATTTTTTTTCGCCAGTTCGCCACTAAGCATACAGAAATTTATAAAAATCCCGGCGAAATGGAAGATCGAAAATTAAATTAAATTTTTCGTGCGCAAAATTGATATACGCTGCTTGCGTCGGTGGTATATAACGAACGTATACATGTGGTATCGACACGAAATTTCGCAAGGAAACCCCGCCCTTTATTTGATTCTTTTAGCGATCGGCAGATCGAACCGTCTCTGGGAATCTGCAGCGCCTTACCGCTACTCCCCATAACCACCCACGTTCCTGCAAACCTTGTCCCTCCTCTCCTCCCCCCCCCCTTTCCACCTGCACGATTGAACGTGAGCCCAACATCAGAATAAAACTACGACGAATTCTACCTCCATCACGTTAACGTTCCTCCTCCGTCTTCTATCGTAGAGACCATTTATTTCGATCGTAACCAATGTCGTTTCGCAGTTCACTTCAAAGTGGAACGGGCTGCCTCTATCGCCATGGTAAAACGCGACGTCATTGACGTTACAAGATGATTCATACTAAACCAGTGGCCTATTTCTTTTTCCAGGGGAACATTTACTATTAAGGATGTATGTGTCACATCTCAAAGTATTATCAAAAATATGAAAATGTGGATTATTCCATTATTACGTTTATCTGTGCGAAAAGCACAATTTTCTTGTTGGTTTAAAAATCATTTGGTTTTTTTGTTTGCTTGATTCTTATGTAGAATTGCATTTTGTAGTATTTATTTATTTATTTGCAAATTTGATGAGAAAGCATTACGAATTAAATAAAATTTTTTAAATATACTAATAAAATTCTATAATAAATATCCGTGCAAAGGTTCACTCGAATCCACGTACTCGTTTAAACGTTATTATTTGCTGCAGCAAAATATGGTCATTCCGTTGCATAAACCATTATAAACCAAATTATTTATTGTTTGTTTTTTATAATTGGTTTCACGACGTATTCGCGACCAAAATTTTTTTGTAAATTTTCGACCAATTTTTTAGCTGGTATTGTGTAGCTCAAAGCATTCTTAAAGCAGTGACATATTACATTAAACAAAAACAAAGCAGTATTAATGTTTATTAATATTTGAAATTTTTTATCGAATAATTTTAAGCTGTTAACACTCCGACGAAACGTCGTTTTGCATAAATTTAATGTCTATAAAGAATTTCTGCTGAGATTGATAAGACTCTATATTGATGTATCGCGATCGGTGAAAATTCTCTCCAGCTAATCGTTTCGCTTTCAACGGTACGACAGAGAGGTGAGAATGTTTTATTTATAATGACAGCGGGGGTAGAGTGGCTAATGCTTATGTATGAAATAAAATGCAAAATCGAAGTAAGCCACGGAAATGGGCCACGGAAATCTGTACGAGATACGCCACGGGTCTGCTTTTGAAAGGCACACCGTGATACCATTGAGAACCCGTCCAGTCCTTCGGAGCTTACAAAAATCACCTCCGGTAGTAAATATTCATGTCGCACAAGGCGTTGCTTTGACTCTGTATGACGAGGCATTTTACCCAGTTTCGAAAGTGAGTCGCTTTATCTTCGAGCGTATTTTTATGACAGATTCTAAGCGTATGGATTTACGAGCAGATATATAAAACTTATTGCTAGACGTCTCCTCCGACTTCGCAGCGTTGAGAGAATGTCCATAAATCATCATATCTCTCTTTTTTTTATTTTTTATTTAAAAGGAAAATCTAACGGTTGCTTTAACAGCCATTGATTAACGATTCGCGATAACATGCCCGATTATCCGCTTGAATAAACACACACGTACGTGTGTATGAATTTATTATCTATATACCCGTTGAGAGAAACACGCTACTCATTATAACACTCATTTATATCGACCGTTTAACAAATCATGCACTACAACGAACATCATTTCGACACTTTTACCCGCGATATTACCTCACTGTATATTACAACGTTTAACGCAACACCTCTCCTGCTTTCAACGGTACGGTTAAAATGCTTAGCGTGGCAGAATAAAAAATAATCGTGAGTTTATTTCAAATGAGTTTATTTAAAACTCTCTCTCATTAAGTTGTCATAAAACATTAGAATTACATTGCGTGTAATATAATACATACTACTACTCTACATAATGCATATAATATAGAGTTTCTCGTTAACGTTGATTATTTTACGTTGAAATATTCACGTCATGTGCGAGGAGGATTATCATAGCTGCAAGTGTTTAGTCGGACATTGGCTGGTGCCACATTCTTCCTTTGCGCATCGGAAGCCGTCCATCGTTTCTTCTCCTTTGCTGCCGCAGCACGTTTATCGGCGTTCTGTACGCCGCTGCTGCCATTATTGACAATAGCAATAGACTGATGATATATAACCAACCCAATCTCATTTCGGATATTCTAAAAAAGTATTTATTTTTTTTTTCACGAAACAACACATCTAATTTATATGCAAATCATGAAAATGTCAATTCTCGCTTTTTCAACCATGCGTGTTATCCCAAGTAGAGCAAAAAGTCACGATGACATCTCGAAATGACGTTAAAATGTCTAAAGAAAAAAAAACCGGCTAAAGAGAAAAATGATTATTAGAAGTCACACTTTTCGATTAGTAATTTATTTTAACGTCATTTTTTTACGTTATCGTGATCTATTATTTTCTGCTTGAGATGCGAGACTTATATGTTACAATTGTCGCAAAAATACTGTCCAATATAATTCAACGCGTTATCTACTTTCAGAAAGAAAATCGCGAGCTTTTGATACGACGATCAACAGATTGATATCATTGACTTACAGATTTCCACGTTATAATTAAATAACTCCGTGTCGCTCTGCGGTGCTGGGCAAATCTTACGAGCCGTCGAGTTTAATCAGCGAACTTTGGGATAATGTTATTTCAGGACGAGGATTGATGTTTCACGGATGGCCAAAGCTTGACTGGACCAACACTTGACAGCTTCCCAAGCCTATATACCATTCAATCTCGCGATTGTCCCCTGCTCCAATATTACGCAGCGTGACAGACGCATATTTATTTCGCATGACTGTCCCCCTCGTTCTCTATCAAGCATTTTATTCTGTAACGAGCGAATTTGCTCGTCCAATCTGATCAATTCGATTGGAATATTTCCCGCGTATATTCTCACGCAATAAGAATGAATCACGTTTACGTCGATTTATGTCCGGCGATTTAGATCGGTGATTTAAATGATTCAGTAGGTGATTCAAAAAGGACACGAATTAATAATAAATACGCGAATCGATCGACGTGCATATTATTTACACGGAAAAAACGATTTTGCTGAAAGGATCTAAAATTTAGCTGGATACAAATCTGAAAATAATTTTGTTGGACCACATAATTATGCTGGAAACTCCAATTGATTGCTGGAATACTCAAATTTTTTGCAGCATTGCTCATTATACTTGAGTTTCCAATATAATTTTTATGGTCCGATGAAATTATTTTCAGATCTGTTATCCAGCGAAATTTTAAATCCTTCAGCAAAATCGTTCTTTTCATACACGTACGCGCGCCGCGTTATAGAGAAATATCTAATATCATTAATTTTTTTTTTTTTTGGCATAAAATCAAATCGGTACGTAACAATCATATATGAATTTCTAATCATAGAATGCGGAAATCACGAAAGCCCGTAATATTATCTGTCAATATTTGACGTCGCATAGCACCGAATAGTTGCGGTAGGCTGATACAACAGTCGAATTGTGACGGTATAACGCGCGTATCCATATATACTGTTCTACGGATTTGTTATCGCGTATCGAACAAATACGAGTACAGTCTGGATACGACAATGTCATATTGCGTCTCTAGCACATATTCACACACATATAAATACATATATATATGTGTATATACACATTATATATATATACATATATATATATATATATATATATATATATATATACAATATATCTCAGTCGAGTGCAAACCTTATCACGAAATAAATAATAAAGGCGCGCGGCAGTGTTCGGCCAATAAAATCGTAGGGGCGATGATATTTGTAGAACTCTCCCGTCGGTGTTTCCGCGATCCGACGAGATCCTGAGTTTCCTCGCCGCGCGTACGTACCTATCCACGGAAAAACGTGACGAGTATCATCGACTTTGGAAAACACTTTCGTCCAGGCGCACTGCAGTTTCCCGGCGACAGCTTTTGCGAGAGCGGTAGCGACCCTACGTTACGTCAAGAACGCGCATTCGGCGCGGAAACGTCTACCCCGGCCGATAGAAATCGACGGGTGAGAAGGAGAGCGAGAAAGAGAGAGAGAGAGAGAGAAAGTGGAAATGCAGAAGGGGGATCGAATACAGTCGTGAGAAAGACAGGGAGGTGAAACGACGACGTTCGCTATACGTGGCCTGAAACTGGCAGGCGAAGGGAGTGAGCGGTTCCCTCGGGAGCTTGCTCGGCTCTCGCGCGTTACGGCGCGCCGTCTCCACGGCGCGATCTATCGCCCCATTGACCGCCACTCCATTATCAGGATAGTAATGCCGTAACCCCGTATCCGTAACCCTGCCCTACTCGTGTCGCTCTACGCCTCTACCTTACCCGGGAATCCACCGCCAGCCCGCCCTTTTGTTGGTTTATCGGAACAACCCTTAGTTACAACCGTCCGGCGGAGAAAGAGAAAGAGAGAGAGAGAGAGAGAGAGAGAGAGAGAGAGAGAGAGAGAAGAACAGCGAAATCGCGAGAATAATCGTGGTCGATAATTTTCAACGCAACATCTACGAGATATGGTTTCTATACGGTTAACAATGCGCGAATCTTTCGTAAAGTTATCTTATTTATTAAATTAAGTCCAGCTTTTTTTTTGCGAGAGATCCATTTACGTAAACCGCGCGCTACTTGAACCTCTCCTTGAATCAAAAACGCTAAATACGTTTGGCTGTTCCCCGTGTTCGAATTGTAAAGGCAAATATACTGTGCCGTACTTCATGAATTTTTGATCGAAATACGTGGGTAGTCATGCGTGCATCGTGCACAGTCGCGATAAATATTTAGCAAATTTGCTGCCAACGGCACGATATTGGTTTTTTTCCGCCTTTCGTTTGCGGCTGCAACCATTTAGTCTTTCGTTGCAAAGAATAATTATAATAACGCGAAGAGAGTCTCATACGGACAATGGAATTAATAAAATTATGATAAAAGAGATAAAAATTTTTGCATTTTTATGCAAATAAATTTTTACCCAACTTCTATATTATCGAAATATCGTTAAAATCTATTTCAATTTTATAAACTGAAATCCTGCATTTTAATATACTTTGTATATTAATTCTCTATGCCTTATTTTAAATTTTTGCAAATATTAATTTATATTGAATATAAATTCAAGGTTCAATCGCTTTTGCAAAGTAATAATATAAGAATAAAAGGTCCAAGATAAGCAAAAAGAAATATAACTTAAGGATAATTGTAACTTTTATTTCAAAATATTAAGAACAATTTTGACTCAGAGAATCTTCAGTCGAGAAATAATAAATTAATAAATTAATATAAAATATAAAAATTAATATCATATATATAAAATTTGATAAAAATTAAGCTAGATCAACAATGGACTAAGTTATATAATAAGTGAATTAATTTATATAATTATGTATTGTACACAAAAGAAGAAATTATGCGTGCAATATCCATTCGTATCATCAAGAAAAGAATGTAATACTCTTACGAGCTCACATGAAAATTGGCGATAGTAGGTCGCAAGTTGCTCACAAGCGCGCCCTGCAGCTTTTGGTTTGCAAGGATGCCCGAATTAATTACAGGCCACTTCTGACCTAACGGCAAACTAGAATCCGTTGCAGCTATAATTAAATTATATGTAACTACTTCAACAGTTGCAAAGTTAAGAGAAACGCTTTCTACAAATTAGAAAAGGGATTTGAGAAGAAAATTGCACTATATATTTGAATAAAAAAATTATTTTTATTCAAATGTAAAAAAAATGTTCAAAATTATATAGAATATAATAATTTACTTCTGCGAATCTAACATCGCCACCACCTAAATAAAACGACTATATGCTAACATATAATTAAATGTTCATTTATTACTTCCAATCATTCGCAGGTAATTAATATCAAAAGTGAGGGAGAGCAAACCAAAATTAATGCAGCAGTTAATTGCTATATAAACATGTGCAATAAAACAATAATGTTACAGAAAAGTGTATCGGGACACTTTCAATTTGATGTAACTCAAATCTCTTTTTACTTGTTATCTTCTTTTTCTTCTTTTTATGTAACTTCGTCGATGGAACACAGGTGTGTTCTATACTATTCGTCCTACACGATTACCGCGATTCTTTCCGAGTTGCTAAAAAGTGCTGTCTTTCTCCCGAAAATAACACTGTTTCCCGCGAACGGCGCAAAGGGAATCACTCCAATCGGTCGTACCAGTATCGAAACGATCTTCTCTCCCCATACAATTTTGCGAGACGCCCCCGTCCCCGAGATCGCAAGAGCGTCGCGCGCGAACCTCGCGTCAGAATATGTCCCGGCGTTCCTCAGGCGAGCAGCAGCCATCCGCATCCCGATCACGTAGCTCAGGAAATCTCAACAGATAGACGCAGAAGCCGGGGAGCATGGACTCGTCCCGAGCAAGCACGAATGGGAATACACCTTCGTTTCCCGGGCGCTAGAGAAGACGTCCGACAGCTCCGACTCTATCGCGAATGAGGGACCGCGTCAGCGACTTTCGGGATAAGATGCTGCGCGCACCGTCCGTGGCATTTCGATTTTCGCGCTTAGGCAACATCGCCGAGATAACGGCCCACTTAGATTTACGACCGATAACTCGGTATATATTTTCTCGTGAACGTTCTCGCACGCTCGGCTCTGCCAACTCGTATACTGTTTCTAAAACGGTTTTAATCGCTAATCCGACGATCAGCAGAACCGGAGGGAAAAATCGCTTTGGTAGAGTGAAGTGTTACACGCCGATACTGCAGATATTCTTAGCACTTATTGAATTATTTAATCGAGTTTCAAAGAGATTTATCGACTATTTCATTGGTTTTTACGATGTATTTTTAAGAGTCGATAACGCAATTACTATTCCGGCTTCAGTTTATAATTACGTTGCAAATCCCACAGTAATCCATCAGCTCTCAGTGTTTATATATATAACTGGAAATATATTTAAAATTAACATAGAAATATTATTACACGGAAAGAACAATTTTGCTGAATCCAGATCTGAAAATTATTTTTGTTCAATAATTAAAATAATTTTGTGCAAAGGTCAAAATGATTGCTAGAATATCAAAACGTTTTACAGCAATGCTTATCAGTTTCCAACAAATTATTTTGATGATTCAACAAAAAATTATTTTCAGATCTGTTTTCAGCAAAATTTTTAAACTTTTCAACAAAATCGTTCTTTCCGTGTAGGGATCAAGATCAACCGTATTCGATGCTTCTCTATTCAATTGTGTTATTCATTATAGCGATCTGAAGAAAATTTAACTTATTGTTTAAGAATCGATATTTTTAATCGACATTCGGCTTGGATATTACAGAAAGGCCAATAAATGATCGCGATATGTTCTTACCCTCGGAAATCGTCATATTAGCCTGTACCTTGTATTGCATTAAATATATGGCTGCCTAATGCTCATCTCATGAATAAATTGAATGCGTTCCTCATCTCGGCCGAATAAAACTCGGATCGAACTGTGTACAGAAACCGCGCGGCGGAACAATGCTTCTCCCCGTGATGCGCGCTGCAATTGCAGAATTGCTCCCGTGCATGCGACTTTTATTAGATACACCGCGAAAGCTTTTATTTTAGCGAAATCGTGCAGAACGTCTACTTGCATGTCCAGGTTTATGATCACAATTGATTCCTCTGCTCCGTTTCCACTCCCGCTCTCTTATGCGACCGGAATACGTCGGTAAGACATTACTCAAAGCAAAACGTGAGCGAGATACAGCTGTGGTAACCGTCGACGATTTATAGCGGGACAAATACAGATGGGGAACTCTTCGGGGCGTAAG